CTCAGCCGTCCTCGAGCGCGGCTCCGGGCGGGGCAGGAGGCCGGCCGCGCGGGGGCGCCGGGGACCGCACACCCGCCCGCAACCAGCCGCGGGAGAGGGACACCCGACAGCCGCGGCGCTTCGTGCGACACCCTGGAAATGGGGGCTGGGGGCGTCAGCGGCCCCCAGGAAGGGGCGCGCCGCGGCGGCCGCGCCCATAGGTCCCGGGAGCCGTCCGTCAGCGCGAGCCCCCGCCCCGTCTCGTGCGGCGCCGGCCGGAAGGAAGCGGCGCACTTCCGCTCGCGGGCCGGCCCCGCCCCCCGCGTCCGGCCGCTCTGTGGCCGGGACCAGAGCCGTGGGTTGCGCCCGCGGTCCGCGAGCCCCCGAGGCCGGCCTGGCCTACGCTGACGCCCGCCACCCGCTGGCCAGAGCGAGAGGTGCGGCTCCGGGGAGGAGGGCCCGGCTCCGAGCAAGGGTGCCGGGAGCGGCGGCCCCGCAGCGGCCCCTGTGCTGGTGGATGTGGAGGGCCGGTAAGGGCAAGATGGACGGAAGCGGTCCGGCCACTCGGACATCTCCCAGCTTCCCGCGTTGCCAGGCCTGGCGCGCCCCCTGCCCGGTCTGGGCAGACCCCGAGCTCCAGTTCCGCTCATCTGCGCTTGGAGTCTTCCTGATGCCACGAGAGTACCCGAGAGGTACTTTCGCATCTCCAGACTCCCCTCTAGTGTTGGGGTGGGGGCGCTGTTTTCTTCTTAGTTTTGTCTTCAGGAATGTGCTCCTGTGTCGTCTTAGCCTCCTGTGTTAGTTCGTCTCCCAACTAGAGTGAAGCCTGTTTTGAGGGCGGGTACTGCGCTGCGTGTCTGGATGTTTTTCTTAACTGCACTGCGAAAAGCAGTAGAGAAAGAAAGCCTTTTGTCAGCAGATAGTCAAACCACGTGCTAACTGATTTTTGTAAAGCAGTAGTCCTCTGGGTCCTCCACCTGTGAAAAGATTGCTCATCCTCTAATTCCAACACGAAATTACTGCATCCAGGGGGCCTTTCCTAGTCACCCCTGTTGGATATTTTCCTCCTCCTTTGGGTGTCTGTTGCTGTTAATGACAAGCACACATTCTGTGCCAATGGATGGAGGTATCTGCTGGGTGGCTTTAATAAAAATAAATGTCAGCTGTTTTTTTCAGATGGCATTTGTCATGTTTCAACATGACTGTTGGTGTCTTCTTTAATCTTATAGGCCTGAGAGCAGGGACTGTATATTTAGAATCTTTCTCTTTCACGTTAAGATGGCTTACATAAAATACATTTGTGTGCTTAATAAATACATGTGTGAATTTATTCTTCCTTAAATAGGATTTCCCCCCTTTTACTGTATAGAGTTTTTTCTGAAATTCTCACTCGGGGGAAAAATGTGTCGGTGGTGAAACATGCATCCCTTGAGTAAGGGAAATAGTACTCATTAGCAGCTGCTCGTTTGTTTTACCATGAAGTGGCTTTATTAAGCAAGATAAAACTTTGACACTTATAAGAAGTTGGCCTCCACTGCTGAGAGTAAGTCTTCGGAATGAATAAGTCAGGAATGAGTCCTTAGTTCTGATACAGCAACCCTGGGGGTGATGGATAAGGAGCTCCCTAATGAACTCTGATCATGGCCTGTGACTGCAGTGGTATACAGGAATACTTCTTGTTTTGCATTGTTTTAAACCCAAATGGACTCTGGCTTTTCCTGTTTTGGGGCCAGCAATAGTTAAGCTGTGGTCCTCTAGAACAGTGCGACTCAAAGTGTGGTCTGGGGACCTGCAGCATCACTATCACTGGGAGCTTGTTAGAAATGCAAATTATCAGGTCCTATCCCAGACCAACTGAATCATAATCTGTAGGGGTGGGGGCCCCGTAACCTGTTTTAAGAAGTTCTCCATGTGATTCTGTGCTCAGTAAGTTGGAGAACCACAGCAGAACTTTGCTACTCAGAATGTGGTCTGTGGACTAGCAGTATCGGCATCATCTGGGACCTTCTTAGAAATGCAGGATCTCAGGCTCTCCCTAAGACCCACTGAGCCATAATCTGCATTGTAATGCAGATCCCCAGGTTATTTGTGTGTACATCACACTTTGAGAAGCACTGTGCCAGAAGTCATTAATGCTGTTTACATTCTTCCCATAAAAGTGTCTTGCCTTGGGGCCAAGGGAGAGAGCTCTCCTCTATTGGCTTTTTCCTATCTGATGTACAATGTTTGTTCAGTTTTAAATTGCTTGGCTTAGTAGTATGAACACTCTTAGAACCAGCACTACGTTGCCAGCCCTGTGAGTGAGCCACCTCGGAGGAGGATCTGCCAGCTGCAGGTCAGCCGTCAGACGGCTGCATCCTCTCGAGAGATCCTGAGCCAGAACTGCCCGTCTATGCCACTCCCAAATAGCTGACACAGAAACAATAAGGATAAGAAATGTTTATTGTTGTTTTAAGCCACTAAGTTTTCGGGTAATTTTGTTATACAATGATAGGGAATCAATACAGTAATAATCCTCTGTATGGATTATCATAATTTATTTAACTGTTCCTCTCTCATTGGACATTTAGGTTGTTTCTAGTTTTATCCCATTACAAGCAATGCTGTAGAGAACATCCTTATATTTATGCAACTCTTTAGGATATATTTCTAGAAATAGAATTGCTAAAACTCATAATTTAAATTATGATAAACATTGGCAAACTACATTCCAAAAAGGTTAAAAATCTATTAATTTACATTTCCACCAACGTGTATTATGGTGCTCATTTCTCCATGTCCTTGCCAAGAATGTATACTTTTAATCTTTGCCAGTCTTAGGTGACAAATGATGTATCATTTTAAATGTATTATTGAGGTCGAGACGGTTCCATCGGGAGTTTATTGGCTGTTTGTATTTCTTTTTCTATGATTTGTCTTTTTGTGTTCTTTGGCCAGTAATCGATTTAATCTTGATATGAAGGGATTATTTATAGATTATGGATATTAATTTTTGTCATATACCTTGCAGATATTTTCTCATTATTGTGTACTGCGTATGTGTCTTTTTCCTGTGCAGCAATTTTCCATTTTTACATTGTCAAATCTGTCATCTTTCCTTTATAGCTTCTGGGTTTTTCTGTCATGCTTAGGAAAACCTTTCCCATCCCAAGACTGTAAAAATTTAAAAATATTTTCTTCTACTTTTTAAAAATATTGCATCTTTTTAATATGGGGTGAGATAAACATCTGACAATTTCTTTCTAATTGGATAGTCAATTTTTTTCAACGTAATTCTTACCCTACTGATTTATATTATCTGTATTACATACTAATTCC